ACTAGACAAGAGAGAGAGATAGAGAGAGAGAGAGAGAAAGAGAGAGACAGAGAGAGAGAGAGAGTCCACTAATCTAGAAGCATGTAGGTGAACTTCATAATATGGTTATTGATCACGTAATGCGTCACGCCAATTGATGGGTGTAGGAATGTCTGTGGTTGATGTCATTGAGTGGATGTATCATATGTTTAAATGGATTTATTGTTTGAGGATGTAAACTCAAGCAAATTATTTATAACTACTAAAAGTTTTGTATAATGGTTTTACAAATATTTTGAAACAAGTGGGGAAATGTTAAAAAAAATTTGTTTCTAAAATATTTACAAAAATAAGGGCCCAATTTCTAATTTCTTGTTTTCTTTAACCCCATTTAAAATGTAGTTTAAACGAGCTAATACTTTTAGAAAGGAAAATGAAAGAGTCACGTGAAGAGATGGACAAGTGGTCATTGAGAGGCAACACTTGGTCATTCTCTCTCTACGAGTGTCTCTTGCAATTCTTTTTAAATGGCTATATATGAGAAGAGTTTTGGGGAAGAAAGTTCAACTTACATGAGCTTCTTCTCTCTCTCTCTCTCTAAAACCTATTTATCTATCTTAAGCTTCTTTGTGAGCTGGGTACAAAAGATACGTCTCTTATCCTTGTGAGAGTCCTCCAGTGTCATGTAATAAATTACATCATCTTGTTGCTTCTCACAATAGTTTCTCTCTCTATATTATTTTCTAACTCTTGATTTGCAACAAGCATCTCTTTTATCTCCTACAATATACTCATGCGAAGCACACTCCCAGTGATTTTCTCTCTCTCCATAAAAGTAATAGACCTGGCTCTACAAGTCTCTACAAATTTGTTGAGTTTGTTCCATGATTTATTTATATTTGTATCCAAAACAGTACTTGAAGTTTGGGAGAGTTGTATGAGTAAGGAAAAAATTATAAGGCATTGTTTTTAGTTTGCTAGAGTGATTTATATTTGGTTTTAATGAGTACATGCCTGTTAAAATTACATTAGGGTTGATTGGTCGATGTTTTACAATAATTACAATCAATTTTGGGTTTTTATTCTTTTGCCTTGTGCATCCTTTTTTTAGTCCTAAAGAAATTGTAGCAAATTTTTATGATTGTTTTTTATACAGTGAGAGAGTGTTGCCTGCCATGTGTTTGTTGATTTTTATGGTTAAGTTCAAAATCTAATTTACATGTTGTTGTAGCTTTATTTTAAAAAAAAAACAAAAAAAAATCCATTGTATTTGAGCCAATAGATTATGAGTTAAAATAATATCCCGGTGAAAATTCTCGCATGAAACGTCAAAATATTTCTACAAAAGTTCTTTCATGTCGGATTATTGCTTTGCCATGTTTGTGTCATGGAAAAGTAATAAATTCTATAATTGCTAGGACAACGTGTATACCCCTTATGTTTTTCGTTCTACCCTTCATGATACTGGATCTCGGTGTGCAATTGTGTTCCTCGGATCCTCGTGACCGTATCACAAGTGTAGTCTTTAATATTATCACTGTCCAATCAATAAGCGGACGCCGACGACAGAATTGGACCCATTGAAAAGATATTAAAAGCCGTTTCACTTTCAGGTTGGCCCCACCCTTTATCGATTAATGACCGAAGCAGCCACTACCGAAGATGACGATTCTCATTAGGGCGGACATCGGGCCTGGACGGCCTAAGTTGACCCGAAACGTAATAACAAAAAATACCAGGTTAGCCCAATCTTAACCAATGTTGTCATATTTGTTTGAGAGTTTTTTTCGGTTTGGTGAAAAAAATGAAACAATTATGTGTTTCGTTTAGAAAAAATTCAGACTTAAAAAATAAATAAATAAATAAATTATGTATTTATATATAAAAATATATACAAATAATGAAAATTTTAAAATAAAAATTTTAAAAAAATAAAAATAAATAAAAAAATACTTTTATATATGAATTGTCTATAAATAAACTATTTATCTTTTGTACGTGGAGGTCACAATCACTCGTCCCTTAATTTTCAAAATGGGTGGTTGTAAGAGTCACATTGAATACACACAAAGTCCAAAAAACAAAATCTCGGACTTTGTGACTCACCCCTACTCCCCAAGCCATCCAATTTGAAATTTAATGAATGAGAATGATTGTGACTCTATGTACAAAAGATAAATGCTCCCTTTGTAGACAATTACTTTTTATAGATATTTCTTTACT